GAAGGAGGGGGTAAATAAATTATAAAAGGGAAATTGATGTACGAGAGACACAGGGGCCTCCAAGAAGAGGGAGGGAGAGAGCCACCGGCACATGGAGGGGGAGAGGGAGGGAGGGGAGGCAGAAGGGGAAGCGAGCAGGGCAGGCACGACAAGTCTCTCCTTACCTTGTCTCCCTTGGCCTCCTCGTCAAACCTCTTTAGCTCCTCGTCCTCCACAAGTTCCTGCAGGTTCCTGGGGGGGGGGGGGGAGAACATTCCTCCAGCTTTACCTCGAGCCTCCTCAAGATCTGTTCCTGATTGATGTTGCCGTCTGTTCTCTCCTCCATGATGATGTCCTGCCCAGCTCGTAACTACTCTTGCTCCTCCTCTACCCCATGCTCCTCCTCTACCCCATGCTCCACCCCCCCTCCCTCTCGCCCCCCATGCCATGTCCTTCACACGTAGTACCCGATTCGGCCGACTGTATTGCTCCACGAGCAGCCTCCACCACCTGAGCAGCATCAGGAGGTAGGAAGGGAGAGTCGTTGGGTCTTCACTTCAGAATCTCCTCCTTTTGCCTCTCCACCTCCTCCGCCGCGCATTCCTTGAGCTTGTTGCGCAAGGAATCGATCATGGAGACGATGGAGAAGGTTCTGAACTCATAGGGAGGATCGATGAGATCTGGGCTGTACGTGTAGCACCGTCCTGCTGCGATCTGATACAGACCGTCAACTCCTGCTCCAGCAAGGCCCCACTTCTCCCCCCCTCCCCACCCACTGCTCCTCACTACTTCTCCTCTGTTTTCTTCATCAGCCGCCTCCTCGTTCTCTCGCGGCTCGCTCCGCCTCCTTCGCCTTCCCTCCTCCTCCCGTCTCTCGTCTTCCCACCTGCTTCACGTCTTCCTTCAAGTGGTTGACGTTGAACTCTCCCTCCTTCACGTTGTCGAAGAACGCTTCTGACGCCGACTGCGGCACGTTCTCCTTCCACTCTATCCTCGACGTGAACTCAGGGTCCCGGAGAAAGAAGAAAGTCTCTGAAGCGAATCTGAGGAAGGCTACTTAGAAGGTGCCACTTCTACTGCCCATTCCTCTGCTTCTTCCTCCCCTCCCCTCCTCCTCTGCCCCCCTCCCCTACTCTCCCTTCCTCTCCTCCTCCTCACGGTCGTCTGAAGAACGCATGCGCCATCTCAAGTCCGGTCACAGAGTACTGCAGCAGGGGTGAGCGGACCTCCCAGCTGGGGCTCTAGACGAACCTGTTGGTACTTCCCATCCATCGTCCATTTGTAGGACTTGCCTGCACACCGAGCATCACAACAGAAGACTTCCTCCCTGTCCTCCTCTTCTCCTCCTGCTTCCTCCTCCCTGTCCTCCTCTCCTCCTGCTTCCTCCTTGTCCTCCTCCTTCCCCTCGTATTCGTCCTTCCTCGTCGTCCTCGTCCTCGCCTCTGAACCTTTGCCTTCCTGTTTCTTCCTCCTGCATCCTCCTCCTGTTTCTGCCTCGTTCCTCATCATCTTCCTCCTCCCTCCGTCCCCTCTGCCTCATCATGCCTGCAACTGTGCGATCTTTCCCCTTGGGAGGAGGATTCCATCCACATCTTTCTCCAAGGAGACCGACGACCTGTCAGGGGTACATGAGAAGAGTGTGAGGGAGGAGGAGGAGGTCAAGAAGGAAGGGGGGGTAGTAGGGGGGTTAGAAGGAGGAGGAGAGGATGAGGAGGAGGAGGAGTAGAGGAGGTGAGAGAAGGGGGGGGTT